GGAACCTTCACGAAGACCTGGGAGGCCCGGTGTGGATTTCACATCCTCGCAGTCCAGAGGCCTCTGTCTGGATGAGGAGCTGTGGGGAAAGTGGCCCCTTCTCTCCCAGGCCCTGCTCTGCCGTACCTCCTGAGGGGCCTTCCCCACAGCATGCGGACGCTGGGACTGCACGTTTGAGCTCTGCCCATGCCTTTTGCAAAAAGCTGCCACTGGGCCACCATTTGGGCTCACTCAGGGGTGCAGTCCACTCTCAGGCAGATGAACCCGGGGAAGAGGCCCTGGAAACAGACTTGTGGCCCTTTGGGCCAGGAATTCCACAGTCCCAGGTGCTCAAGCGTGGTGTACAAGGGGGCTGGGGGGCTTTCTCCTTGGCCCCACGGATCCTGTGCCCTGGGGGCAGGGATGGCTCCAGAGCAGGGGCTCAGGGAAGAGGTCCCTCCAGTCTGAGCCTAAGGATGTTGTCGCCGCCAAGCCCTTATTGTGAAACTTTCAGCCTGCTCGTTAATCTCTCTGCACCTTGTTTTCTGCGTCTGGACAATGGAGATGACGACAGCAAGGAGTAACAGGAATACACGAGCTTATTCTGAACGGGCCAAGTGCTGAGGGCAGTGCTGGGCAAAGCGTGAGTGAGTGCTGCCCATTAAGTGTAATTATTACTTGGACTCAGGCGTCCTCAAAGTCGTTAACAGATTGAGTGCTCTGTGGAGACCTAGAGAATTCCAAGAACCAGGTACTCTGGCTACCTGATCCGTCGTCAGGCTGGAGTTGTGACTGCGACAGAAACCGTGGAAGGCCAGCAACAGAGGGAATGGGATAGAAGGGAGGGTCGGTATTTGCTGCCAATTCGTTCAGAGAGTGTTTCTGGGGCAGGTACTCTTCTAGGCACTGATCCAGGTCACAGGACTGAGCAAGACAGGATCCCCAACTTCATTCATCCTACCTTCTTGGGGTAAGGGAGGAGGATAGAAGGAAGATATTTAACAAGAAAGCAATGAAATAGGGGTGCCTGGGTGGCTCAGTTGGTTAAGCGACTGCCTTCGGCTCAGGTCATGATCCTGGAGTCCCGCGATCGAGTCCCACAGCGGGCTCCCTGCTCAGCGGGGAGTCTGCTTCTCCCTCTGACCCTCCCCCCTCTCATGTGCTCTCTCTCCCTCTCTCCTTCTCTCTCAAATAAATAAATAAATGAAATCTCAAAAAAAAAAAAGCAATGAAATAAACATGAGCCAGGCAGACAAAAATAAGGGGTGTGAAAGAAATCAAATAGGGTTAATTGAGAGTGAACAGCTAATGATGGGAGGTGGGGAGGATGAACTGCGTGCAGTAGGCTGGTCCCTCACGGCCACGGAGGAGGAGACATTAAACCTGAGACCTGAGGGGGCGCCTGGGCGGCTCTGTCCACGCCTCTTCATTTTGGCTCAGCTCAGGTCATGATCTCAGAGTCTTGGGATCCAGCTCCGTGTCAGGCTTTGTGCTCAGTAGTGGGTGGTGGGGGGGGTCTACTTCAGATTCTCTGCCTCTCCTGCTCACGTTCACAAGCACGCAATCTCTCTCTCTCTCTAAAATAAATAAAAATCTTAAAAAAAAAAAACCTGACACCTGAATAATTAGGAGGAACCAGCTGTATAAAGAATCAGGAAAAGGCTATTCCAAGAAACGAAATTGGCTAGTGCCAGGGCCCTGAGGTGGTCGTGTGCTGGACACAATACGAGAAACAGAGAGAAGACCTATGTCACTTAAAGGTAGTGAGCAAAGGGAAGAATGACAGGAGACAGAAGTTAGAAAAGTAGAGGGGGACCCGATGATGCACTTCTCAGAGTTTAATATGCCCACATACCACCCGGGGATCCTGTTAAAGCACAGTTTCAGATTCCGTAGGTCTGAGGTGGAGGCCTGAAATTCTGCATCCCTAACATGCTCCCAGGTTGGGCCAGTGCCACCAGTCCGTGGACCACACTTTGAGAAGCAGGGCTTTAGGCCACAGATTCTATCATAACTATATTGAGAAGACTTTGGGTGACCATAAGCAGGGATGTGACTCAGTCTGGCCATATTTTTCAAGCTTGCCCTGGCTGCAGTGTGGAGGCTAGGTCAGGGGTAAGACAAAAGCCTGGACACCAGCGGGGATGCAATTGTAGTGGCCCAGGTGGAAGGTGGGGGCGGCCCGCATGGGGCTGGGCATTGTGAGCTACAGAGAAGTAAGTGCAGAGCAAGTCAATGAGCCTGGCTAAGTCATGAAGGGGGCGAGTGAAACACAGAACTCCAGCATGACGACTCCTAGGTTTGAGGCCTGAGCTAAAGCTGGTGTGATGCCTTCACTGGTGTGGCCAAGGCTAGGGCTTTGTTAAAAAAAAACAAAAATTAAAAACCCAGAGTTTCAGTTTGAGATGGTAGTCACAAATTCAAGTGGAAATGCTGAGTCAGATAGATGAATCTTGAACTCAAGAGTGAATCTGGGGCTTTTGAGCATTAGGAGCCTTGGTTTGTGGATGGTGTTTTAAAGCCACAAGACTGGATGTGCTTGCTTACAGAGAACGTGTAGCAGATAAGGAGATCTGAGAGCTGACGCCACAGGTTTCTAGCACCTAGGGGTCACTGGCGGAGGAGGAGCCAGGAAAGGAGAGTGAAGAAGGGCTGGGGAAGTGGAAGCACAGGAGAGTGGTGTGGTGGGCCTAACAGTGGACCCCAGAGATACCCTCACCCTACTCCATGGAACCTGTGACTATATCACCAGACGTGGCAAAAGGGACTATGCAGATGCAATTAAGGTTAAAGAGCTTGAGGGGAGAGCTTATTCTGTATTATCTGGGTGGACCCAATCTAACCACTGGAGTCTTTAAAAATAAAATGGAAGACAGGAGAGGGGGTCAGAGAGATGGAAGAAGAGGAGCAAGAGATTTGAAACACGAGAAAAACTTGACCCAGGATTGCAGGCTTCGAAGATGGAGAAGCCAATTCCAGAACATAGGAATGGCCCTCAGCAGGCAGGTAGCAAAGACATAGGACCCGATTCCCACAACGGCAAGTACTGAATTCTGCCGACAACCTGAATGAGCAAGGAAACAAAGTCTCCCCTAGAACGTCTAGCAAGGAACACAGTGCTGCCAGAACCTTGATTTTAGCCAGAGACCTGTGTTGCGCAAAGATAAATTTGCATTGTTTTTTTTTTAATTTCATTTAAATTCAATTAATTAACATAGTGTATCATTAGTTTCAGAGGTAGAGTTCAGTGATTCATCAGTTGCATATAATACCCAGTGCTCATTCCATCACATGCCCTCCTTAATGCCTATCACCCGGTCACCCCATCCCCCACCCCCCTCCCCTCCAGCAACCCTCAGTTTGTTTCCTAGAGTTAAGAGTCTTCCATGGTGGTGATTAACATAACAATAAAAAATTAAAAAAAAAAAAGAGTCTTCCATGGTTTGTCTCCCTCTTTGATGACTTCCCATTCAGTTTTCCCTCCCTTCCCCTATGATCCTCCGTTTTCTTTCTTAAATTCCACGTATGAATGAAATCATATGATGACTGCCTTTCTCTGACTTATTTCACTTAGCATAACATACTCTAGTTCCATCCACGTCGTTGCAAATGGCAAGATTTCGTTTGTTCTGATGGCTGAGTAGTATTCCATTGTTATACATATATATGTGTGTGTGTGTGTGTGTGTGTGTGTGTATATATATATATATATATATATATATATATACCACTTCTTTATTTGCATTGTTTTAAGACACTAGTTTGTGGGGCGCCTGGGTGGCTCAGATGGTTAAGCATCTTCCTTCTGCTCAGGGCATGATCTCCAGGTCCTGGGATCGAGCCCCACGTTGGACTCCCAGCTCAGCCGGGAGTCCGCTTCTCCCTCTCCCTCTGCCTCTCCCCCTGTTTGTGCTCTTTCTGTCTCTCTCCCTCTAAAATGAATAAATAAAATCTAAAAAAAAAAAAAAAAAAGACACTAGTTTGTGATGATTTGTTACTGCAGCAATAGAAAATGAATTCGCGTGGTTTAGAAGCC